GTTTCTACTGTCGTGCTCCCTAGCTGGTCTTTTCTGCTTCTGAATTAGGGATATCAATATATGCTTCATAAGATACAACCTTTCTCTGGGTTTACATGTGAACTACAGGTTGGGTATCCCACAGTTAACCTATTGTCTCTACCTGTGGTTATCTTTTTGACTTTCTCTTCAGATAGCATTTATAGCTACTGTTTCTTGGCTTTCTCCCAAGGCTTTTTGTACACTCCCTTATTAGTGCTGTTCCACCAATTCCCAATGCTTAGTCTTCTCTGCCATAGCATTTATCTTACAATACTTCCTTCTTGTTTCCTATTAACAAAGATTTTTTTAAAATCTTTTTTTAATAGTTGTCTCACCAAACCCTTTTGTGTCTTCTGACTTATAATTTTATAATATCAATAACAACAGATTTTGAAAACCCAAGTTACTATATTACATTTTTAGATTTTTTGCAAACTCCAGTTTCACTCTGCACACAAATCCTGCCATAAGGAGAGGGGACAAAAAAGAAAAACAAAACTAAAACCAGAAAAAAAAACGAGATTAAAGATTGTTTTCCTTTAAAGGGGACATCTTAAAAGAATTGGAAATACCCACTGATGTGCTTGTTTCCAGTTTATTGTTTTCCAAGTTACAGGAGTATCATGTAGCTAAAGACCTTTCTGATATCTGTTTCTCTGAATATGCAGCCCTTTACACTTCTTCTCTGTTATTCTGCTGGGTTAAATAGTTTATTTCAGGGGAAAATATGTGTCATTGTTTCCTCTCTTTTCCGCTAGAAAGAGCAGAAAATTTCTATTAATTTGACTTGTTATTTGTATGGATAATTTACTATGGAGGGTTCTTGCTCTAGTTAAATATCACATAACTCAGTTGGGAGTAAGTAAAAGGAAATATAAGTTTCATATTCAGCTCTACAATGGATATTCTGTGGATTCTTTTTTCCTAGTTAATTATCTTCATTGATTCCTATCTACTACATTTACATCATAAATGCATTGTGAGGTCAAAGTCATTAATACTTGCGTAGTGTTTGAAGATGCTTGCAAAGAACACATTAAAAAGGGCCAAATATGTTAATTACTATTATAGTACCAGATCCTAGGGAGATTCAAACATTATAATTAAAATTGTGTTAAAATATGCCTTCTACAATAATCTGACAAATGACTATTTATTTCTGGGCCTAGCTCACCACTATATAATTCTAGTTTATTGTATAATAAAGTTTGCAAGTATACAAGGACAAAATTACAGAATCCATAGGTCTTATTAATAACATAGCTGGTGCCATATTATCACTATCTCCTTTGTGCACTCCTATAGAGTTCAGATTAGGCTTTAGATCCTGAAGGCCAAAGAGTTTTACCAACTTCATCACAAGCAATTTGTGCCTATGTAAAAGTCAGAGTGAGGCCCAGACCAAGTAGTGCTGACTAAGTCACGCCCACACGGTAGTTTTTAAACCCTGGTACAAATTATCATCTTCAATGCCTTCAGATTTCTGGACCAGGTTTCAGACCAGAACAATGTATTTGTAGTACTGAGCATCAGTGGTCTTCAGTGACTTCAGTGAACTGAAGCAAAGCATAACAAGCTGATGGTTTGACAGCTGATGTGCACAACATAACTGATATACTGAATCCTCCGGTTTGCTTCTTTGCATGGTTTTTGTCAGGTTTTTCACAGGAATCAGTGATCCCTTGGTGAAAGCCTAGAGAGCATGTCTCTCTTCCTCTTATGAGCAAGGGCCAAGATCAAAGTGGTGAGTGCTGCATCCTGAATGGCACCCAGAAGTGTAGTGGTGCCCTTGCACTTTTTCTGCCAGGCACCTGATCGGTGGCTGGACAGGAAAAGCCAAAGAGCTGAGGCAACATTAAAACGTACAGTGCATACTTACTGCTTTTGGGTAGTGGGATGTACATCACCCTGAGTACAACCTACTGAGTAAATCAGACCGTGTGATAGTGGTGAAATTAAGTAGCCCAAGTCTCTTCCCACAGACTTTAGAGGGAACAGAATCAAATCTACAGTTTTGAGAAGTGTCTGACATTTTACTGGGTGTATATGCAGCCGTGCTCTAGCCTCCAGCTAGAGGACAGCTGATATGATTTGTTCTGTTTCACGTGTATGTGGATTAAAATAGCATTAACTAATACATTATATGTGCATTATGACACTCATAACTAAACCAGCAGTAACTATTAGACACATATTATTACATTGCAAATCGATTTTTAAACTTTATTTTAAAGCTATTAAACACATTCTTCAGTTTTCTTCCAAATTATCCTTCAAAGTCAATTCTGCATGTTTTTTAAAACTAAAATGGTATAAAAATCTCATACAATTGACCTATTAATAAATACTGCTAGTTTGAACATAGGAAGGAAATGTGAAAATTAGAAACAAGAAATAATTCAGTTACATGTGATAGAGACAAAATATCACCTTTCATGGGTTTGCAATGTAGACTTTTCTGAGTAATGTATTGTGCTGTTGTAATAGATGCCTTGATGACTGTTCTCTGTTTTTACTGATATAAAATGGAGGACTTGTAAGCATTACTTTGATAATGCCATGTTAACTGGTGTACTTGGTGTGGTTTTTTTCTTTTTTTTTTTCTTTTTTAATTACAGTACTTAAGTTACTGAACATGATTTGTTCTTATCCTTCTTTTATACAATACCTCTTTGCTATTTCAGAGCAAATATTCTTTAGGAACAAGTATATATCCATAGAATCATAGAATCATTATGGTTGGAAGAGACCTCAAAGATCATCAAGTCCAACTGTCTACCCAACACCACCATGCCCACTAAACCCACTAAATCATGTCTCGAAGAGCCACATCTAAACGTTTTTTGAAGACCTCCAGGGATGGTGACTCCACCACCTCCCTAGGGAGCTCATTCCAATGCCTAACAACTTTACAGTGAAGTTCTTCCTAATATCCAACCTGAACCTCCCCTGGTGCAACTTGAGGCCGTTTCCTCTTGTCCTATCGCTAGTTACCGGGGAGAAGAGACCGAACCCCAACTCGCTACAACCTCCTTTCAGGTAGTTGTAGAGGGTGATAAGGTCTCCTCTCAGCCTCCTTTTCTCCAGACTAAACAACCCCAGCTCCCTCAGCCGCTCCTCATAAGACTTGTTCTCCAGGCCCTTTACCAGCTTTGTTGCTCTTTGTTGGACACGCTCCAGCAGCTCAATGCCCTTCTTGTAGTGAGGGACCCAAAACTGAACACAGCATTCAAGCTGTAGTCTCACCAGCACTGCCATTTGCTACACACTAGGATGGTCCAAAAAGTGCATTTCAGAATCAAGACTTAAATATATTCAACAAAATATATTCAACAAAAAGGCCTCTATCTTTTACTAGAACAGTTATATAGAGATATATCTACAAATAGAGTTCAGTGTGGCTGGAGATGTGAGACATTTACAAATCAGAAACATATGAAGTTTTTGGAACAGCTCTATCACCCCTACATTCTTATATTTTAAAGACATTCGGATTTTCAGTTTCAGCCCTAGTCTAGATGGTCACTAAGGCAATCATTAGTACAGTGGAAAGTATTTATAATTTTAATCTTATTTTTTCATTATACTTGTGTAGCAATTTTTTATCTTTTTCTAATTTTATTTTGTGTTTGAGGCTTTGTTCTATTAAATCAGTGATTCATTCAATTTTAATATCAGTAATAATATAACCGGGAATTTGCCTATTTGCCTATTATGCCTTCTTTATGGGATGCAAGTACTTTCAGGGACTCACTGAAACAAGTGTTTCTGTTCTGAAACTTGAAAACTGAACATTTCTGAGAACTCATCTGATTCAACAGTTAGACACATGCTCATTCCATTGATATTGGTGCTCTTGTTCACATGATTGAACAATTAACTTGTCATCTTGTGAGATCCCAAAAAAACTGTGGAAGGTTAGCATTTACTTCCATTTACCTTTCTATGTATGTTAGAATAAATATTTAATGTAGTCAGACTATGAGAGGGAATAAAAAGTTGTGCCAAGTGTCTTGGATTTACAAGTACTTTATTTCACAATATTTGACAGCATTTGGTGGAGGGAAAGAATAAAAGGAGAAATAAGTTTGGAAGTCTTCTGATCCTCAGAATAGCCCATGGCTAACCAGTCACATGCATATGATGATTTATTTTTTTTTCCTTGTTTTTACCACTTCCTTCCTATATACTTAAAATCATATCTGCACTTTATGGAGGTACAATAGGGGAGTTCCTTGTTGATACCTTATTTCTCTGGTGGAAGAGTTCAATAGGATGTAGAAACTATTTTGATCCAGCAAGAAATGGCAGAGGCAATGGTTAGCATTTCATGTTTTGAAGGATTGGTATATTCCACTAAAATTTAGAGATGGTCTTTAAGACTGGAATATTTTCTGGAGTCTAAATAATCAGTAGATTTCAAAGTCCATATGGCAGTATTTCTTCTGATAGTATCTATCTATATTAACACTTAGAAGGTAGGTAGAATTGATGACTAGTTTTTCCCAAGTTCCAACGACCTATTTAATAGTCTTTTTCTGCCATGTTCCTGCATGTTTATGTTCATATCATGTTGACATCATTGGACACACACACAAAAAAAAAAAATCTGTTCTAGGTAATGGAAAGCAGGTATTTATCAAATAAGTCTTCTGAGAAGAGGAAGTGAGTACATAAGTATGAAATGGTTGTAGCTGGGTAAGGATAACAACTCAACTCAACCATAGCTATTGTTTACTTTTGCTAATTAGATCTTAATCATGCTTGTGGGATTAAGGAAGTTTACATTCAATTTATGTAGAATGAGACCCTGAAATAGGGAAGAATGTACCTGAAGTTGACTATAAGATCGTAAATACATTTGAAAAGTCCAATTGACATTAGCTGAAATTTTCTTTGGGGTCTGCTCAAATGGAAATTGATATTCTTGGACCTCCTCCTGGTACCATGTGAAACTAAATTGACTTTGAATGTTTCAGGTACTTCTGTGGTGCAAGTTACAGCTACTGATGCTGATGACCCATCATATGGAAACAGTGCCAGAGTAATTTACAGCATACTTCAGGGACAGCCCTATTTCTCTGTGGAGCCAGAAACAGGTCAGGAAAATTGTCATTATTTCCATTTACCATAAACTGTAGATTTTTTCTTTAATTTTAAAAATCTTAGATCACCTAAAAAAATAATTTTAAAAACTAACTGAAATGAAATATATTTCTTGCTTTTTTCCTCATGATTTATAATTCTTATAATAAATATAAAAACTTAGAGTTATTACAGGTGACACTATGAATTATAAGTAATTTTACAGTGGTACTATTGATAGCTTAAGGATCTACGTAACAACATTTCTGATAAAGGCAAGAATAAAGGTTTGTGTCCTCCAAAATGTTGTTGTTTTTTCTTAATGATTCTACTTGGAGTAATAAAAGGTGTTCTTTCTACTAAACCTTCTCCATAAATATCTTGAATCGTTTTTAGAATGAAATATAAACTAGAAGGGGAGCTGTGATGTAGAACTAAGGTTTGTTCAACAAAGAGATAGCTTGTACTGAAGGCTATTTATAAAGTTTATGAACAGAAATTTGTACTTTAAACATGAAATGAATATTTTAGAAATATATTTCTAAGAGTAATACAAAAAGATGCAGCAGATTGCTGCACATCAAAAATAAAGAGATTATTAACAATTTTTTAAATTATTTTTTTATTTAAGGCATCATCAGGACTGCTTTGCCAAACATGAACAGAGAGAACAGGGAGCAGTACCAAGTAGTTATCCAGGCAAAGGACATGGGAGGCCAGATGGGTGGATTATCAGGGACCACTACCGTGAACATCACTTTGACTGATGTCAACGACAATCCACCTCGATTCCCCCAGAGTAAGCTGCATTTAATAGTTGCTTTGCACTGTAAGAGCTTCAAACTAAAAGTTAAGCAATCACCATCTGGTTTAATTTAGAGTAAATCTAGATTATGGGCACACATGAACAAAAGGCTTATGTACTGATTTATTCACTATTATTAAAGCAGTATATGAAATGTTACAGCATTTGTTTGTTAGGGAAACACTTACATGGTCAAATATAACTGCAGCAAACCTGCAATACTTTCCAGTACTATTGGAGGGGGTGGTAGGTGGATTCATAAGAGCATTAGAGCAATGCTTTTCTTTTCCCTTACCTATTGCCTAAATCCTGCGTACTTCCCTACTGGAAAATAAAACATGTAGTAATTCTAGATATGCGGAAATATTTGAATTGCAGTGTCTGCTTAAATATTTAATCATGAAGAATGTGGAAAAGAAATTACTTGAAGGGAATCAAGCAGATTTGTACTTTTCCCGTTACAGTGCTACAAAACCTAAGAGAAAATTTCCCAAAGTAAAGTAAATGGCATTTAACGTTTGGGGTTTTTTTATGGTTTAAGTTTACTGAAGCTTCTTAGAAAGCTTTTTAACTTCTAATAGTACAGCTGTCAAGACTTTGCATCCTCAAACTGAAATATAAAAACATTCTTGGTTTCTATGTAATATGGAAATACTAAACTATGTAACATCAAACTTGCTAAAGGTTAAGCATTTCAATTACATTTTAAGCCTTTTGCGCACACACTGAAGTTGTAATATTTGCAAGATGGTTTGGACGTACTTAATAGCTAAACAATTTAGAGTATCCTCACCACTCATTTTTTCTTCTGTATAACTCTAATGAATCCAGTAGTTACTGATGATCAGCCTTCAGGCTCAAAATAAGAGAATCAGCTTCAAATGATTCTGATTTTAACAAGTTTTTTACGGCACAAATGGAGAACATAATTTTGTTCAATTTAATATTGTGGTTAATATCTATGTGTTTAGCTAAAATGTTTATCAGCATGTGATTTTATATACACACCCAAAATAGAAAAATTATGAACAACTGAGTACTTACAATTTGTGCATTTCCACACACAGGCTCTATTCTGGACAGAATTTATGGTTAATTTATCATTTTATGTTCTTTGTATTTCCACAACTTTTTGATTTATTATTTTTCTTGTTTCCATTTGTATATAGAGGATTATGGTAATTCCAGTGTTGTGTAGGTGAGGAATGCTGTATTACTACTCTCAGGACCAATTGAGGAAGACTATTTAAAGACGTGTCATGTTCAAAGATTTATGGAGAAGTTAATTTCAACAGTTAAATTTAAGACAGCATATAAGCATCAAACATGCATATTTATGTGCTTTTCCCCCCCCTTGTTTCTTAAACAGTGTGCTAAATTAATAGTTAGAATGATGGAACCAACTTTCTAGATCACTTTTACATGACTTATCTGGCAGTCCAACATCATATCTGAGTCAGATGAGGATCTGATGTAGCACCCCAGAAATATCTCTGCATTTTTCTATTAATATCAGTTTAAATCAGATATGACCTTTGCTTTAAAGAAACTTTTAATTTGACTCTCATGGGGGTTTTTTTGGTTGTTGTTTTGTTTTTCTCTCTATTTTCTCTCTGCCGGTAGCTTTGCAAGATATAAACGTATGTTTCACTGGAAATTAAAACTAAATTATTTATAAAGTTGACTCATTTTACTAGATATATGAAAGTAAAAATAGCTATTGACTTTCTAAAAAATCTTTATATTTAATCTCAAAATGCAAACAGAATTTTAATAGAGTTCATTGTGACTACTGGAATTGATACTGATTATGCTAAATTACTCTTATTCTGTTCCATTAATAAAAACCAGGTGTGTGTTAGGTTCATGAGACAATCATGTTCATGTCAGATTTATAAATTACCAGGAAAAATATTAAAATGGTCATTACACTTTCACAGGACTCAGCGTATTACAGCTATATATTTCAATAAAATGTTTCATAAAAGGTTAAACTTCTCCCACAAGAAACTCACATTAAAATTGTGGAAAATTCTACATATTGTATTTTATCATACTTTCTCAAAAAAAAAAACCCAAAAGAGCCATTAATTCCTCTGTTGTTTAGATTAAAGAGCAAGGACTCTTCAGAATATTTTTCTCCTCTTAAAAATTTCCTGAAAATAAGTAGCAGTGGCTGTTCTTCTGAGGAAACATGGTAACATTTAAAATATCATCAAGGTTCTGCACAGAAAAGTCCAGACTTCTGTGCAGACTTCTGCACAGAAGTATTTCCAGACTCAAGCGTGTAGATAATAATCTTCCAGCTGATTTCCACTCTCCTTAGCATATGGAAAAAGCTTTTCATTTCCTTGATCCTCCCATTTTTATTCCTGACAGACAAATGAAAGAACATCACTCACTAGAGTAAATGCAGATAGTAAATTACTCTCCTTAACGAAGAAGAAAAGTGAGAGAAAAAAGTTGACACCAGAGTTTTGCAAGAATAATTCTATTGGGTGTAGTTTGCATTCTGACACAGTGTCTAAAGCGGCACTGCATCCCATCTTGGTTCAATGCATCAAAAGTCTTCAGTGACAAATATAACATGAAGTGTCTCATACTATAGTGGAGATTTCTAAAAATGGATAGGTTAGACATAAAATTATCTTTTAGACGATAGGTTTCCGGTTATTTTCACTCTCCGTTTCCACTACCTTATTATCAATTCAAGATACGAGCTCTTACCACTTTGTAGACTAAATTAATGAGTTGGGTATTGCAGCGGGAGCCAAAGTAGTGTCCAAAAGGCATAGCTTGGGGATATAGTTTTAAGTGCTCCAGAAAAAAATGTGGGGAATAGTTGACACACCATAAAATTAATTATAACATATAAATATTAATTGCGGAAAAAAAGTGGTTTTTTTTACCATTGTCTCCCATAGTACTGAATAAATACTAAATGGGAGCAGAGGCTGTTTTTTCTCCTGTTTTTTTAACCATTAGGAGATTACAGAAAGATTATATACTAACGTAGCAAAGTACACAGCTTTAGGAATTAGAGAAAGGTAATGAAAATGTCAGAGTAAATGCAAGATAAATCACTTGATTGAAATACTAAAATGTAACTGAGCAAAAATAAATTCATATAAATAGAATGTGGAGTGTGTATGGTCCTACAGTATTAATTCTGCTGCTGCATGTCAGTTTCATATCAAAAGCTGCCTAAGTTAAATTACATGAAGAAACTCAATTTCAATATTTTTTATTCAACATTTAATTGTAAACTATATGTGAATGTGTTTATTTTATTGAATTTTTGCTTTTTTTTATTTTTGTAAGTTTGGCAAATTACAGCAAAACAGAACACAAAAAACTAGTTTTGTAGAGTGAAAGTCTTAAACATCCCAAAGAATAACAGGGGTTTTTTTCAGTGAGTGTGCCCCAAAACAAAAACAGTTCCTTTGTCACTCTGTAGCTGGCTTGTAATACAGTCTACCAAGAGACACTGATAATCCTCACATGACTCACCTGTGCTTTCCTGAAGATATGATAAGATCATGTTGCCAGTGTCCTTCCCATACTGCCTTGCAACTGCTCTCTCCTCATTCTTCCTGATCGCACAAAACCAGTAACTCCCTTTATGGACTTTTCTGTATTTCTTATTTGTAATGAAGTATATATATGCTGCCTTTTGGGTAGCCTGTTCAACTTTTTCCTGTTGTGGTTGCTGGCCTTTACCACTTCCACTTCTATGTTACAGTTAGCTGAGCTCTCTTTCTAACTCACTTTACTTACCTTAGAAAGTCTCTAAATAAAACAGCAAATCTTGGAACACTTAACTAAGACCAGAGAAGAAAATGTTTTTCAATAGAGCTTTGATGACTTAACTTTCATCTTGGGAATGACAACTGTATCTACATTCATTTTAAAATCTTTTTCTGAGAATTCTTCATAGTGCACTATGTGTCTCACGTGTTTTCCTACCGTATGTTCTGACAGATGGGACCAAAGATCTCAACCCTTATTTATAGTTTTCACAGTAAGGCTAGGACATAGAATACTAAAATGTATGGTAAGATATTTATTTCAATTTATTGCAGCATGTCTGAATGATGACAGTTTTATTCTTATGTTTTTTATCAGCTATATGACACCACAATAAAGGGATGCAATTGCGCTAGGAAAAGTATCACAAAACCAAAATTACAATGTTCATGTATCCCAAAGAATCATCTTAGATATTAAGGCAGAGTGAAGCCTGAAAAGAACAGAGAGCAGTCTTTCCAGATGACGTTTGAGGAATTACATAGAAAAGAAAAGTACAGACACAGTTGATTCTTTGAGATAGAATAGAGGTCCTTTTCAATCCTATTTTTCTATGAATTTGCTTTTCTGTGATTTAGTTTTCAATCTTCTACCTAAAGTTTTCCTCTGCATAGCTCTCTGCCTCATATTTTGCCCATCCTCCCAGTATTAAATGGCAAGTTCTCCAGAATAAAAGATACATGAAAACATGTAATCAGCCATTGTGTGACACAATGTTACTTAACGTATGTGTAATGGCTTGTGGGCTCCTGAGTAGCTCTTTGTCTCTTTGACAGGTACCATCCACCTCCGCATTCCAGAGTCCTCCCCAGTTGGGACAGCCATTGGCAGCGTCAAAGCCACAGATGCAGACACTGGAAAAAATGCAGAAGTAGAGTACAGAATTATAGATGGCGATGGGACAGATATGTTTGATATTGTGACACAGAAGGACACACAGGAAGGCATCATAATTGTGCGAAAGGTGTCTATTAACAACATTCACTAAATAATTTTGGTGTCAATGTTATGCAGAAATGTTCATTGCAAAAAAATCTTAGATCATGTGACAGCATGTTCTAACTGCTTAACATTTGCAAGCATCCCCTATCAGTGACTGAAAGGTACTATTTCCTTTTAAGATGAACTGGAAATAACAGGTGGTAATGGTATCTGAGATGTGGCATAGGTTTAAAACATTATTGCCAGCAAAATATGTAAAAAATGAACCATCCCCAAAGCGTTAGTACTAATTATCTCTGTGATTTCAAATACGGACTTCTTTAGTATTCATGTAACTTTTCTGCAGCAAGCAATACATAGTTCACTCACTACTGAAAAACACAGGTTTTCCGTATCTAGGAGATTCTCATTAACTTAGGCGACCAGTGCATGCCAGAACACAAGCGCACTCACAGGAGTTGAGTTGCAAGCTATACTGTTTTGTTCCTGTTTCCAACAGGTAGGCTGGATAACACATGAGCAGCAAATAATGATGGTGTTTCTGTTTCAGAGCTAGCTTTAGTTCTGCCCTCTGTCTTGTATGTCAGAGCACTTTCAGAGGTGTAAGATCTCACATCCCATTCTCCTCCTCAACAATATCCCTCCCAGAAATCCCTCAGTCCTTGTCTTCGGGATTTTGAGATGTGTTTCTAAAGAGTTCAGGCAGCATTTCTAACATAAAGCACTGTTTTTATTAGCTTTTAAAACAAATCTCTTTAAGCATAGGATAACAAATTAAACACTACTATAAGATATATCTCCACATCTCTTGATAATGGCAACCAAAGAAAAGATGACTTCTGCAAAGGTCATAGTGTGTTCCTTTTTAATCTCTATGCTCTTCTATGTTCATAGTCAGCATTGTAGTTTATCTGGGAAGGAATAAATAGGAAGTTTGGAGCCCATTATTTCCCCTTTTCCTAGCAGTTTGAGAAGGTTTCTCTTTAGATATTCCTTTCTTGCTTCCTTCGGATTCTTCACAGAGACTGCTTTTATATTAAATCAATAGAGTCTTGAAAAAACAGTCTAATGACTGGATCAAGCATAAAAACATTGTAAGTTATAACACAGTGACTCCTCCAAAGATCTCACCAATAAGTACTAATGAACAAGATCTTCTCATTTTGTCATTAGCAGTCTGACACATTTTGCAAGTTTCAGGATGCTTTCTCATATTGATAACTAGTTTATTCGGATAACACAGACAACAGCATTAACTAGCAAGGAAGAAGATACACTCAGTTTGTTAATTTATGAAAATATTCTTTATTTTTTGCATTATTTAGCCACATTTATTGCCAATACTGTTTTCAATGGTGAATAACTATAAATAGCTGGTGTTCCTTTACTGAGCCCTTAAGTTACTAAGTCTGAATTTAATACCTGCTGCAAAAGAACTTTCTCTATACGAGTTCTCACAGACAATTCCTTTGCCACAATTTCATACATTTGGGCAACAGTTTTGTTCATTACATGTGATACATTGTAATACCTGTATAACCCACACGTTTCATATCCATGTTTTGCAGCATAGCCTGAAGAGATGTCCAAACTGGATGTGAATGTACTAGTAGCAAGTTAACTACATCTACATGGCACACCTTCTGGCAAAATAAGCCAGCTAATTAGAATAAAGCAGGACTAACAGGTCTTTTTTGCTTCTAGGCTTGAAGCCAGCATCACTTAACAGCAGCATGCTGCACTTTATAGACACACCAATAGTCTCAGATCTAGGTTAAATAGCAGAACTGTGATGCATTTCTCAATCCTATTCATAGATGTTCTCCCTTCTGCTCTAACTGCTTTTTTTAAAACAATTTTGGGGCAGTGGGGAAACTCATTCTTTCTCTGAACTGCATCTTTCTGCTCTTAGAGTATTTAAATTTCTAGGCTATCACTCTGGCATCTTTCATGAACACTACTTTGCATTTAAAAGCAGTTAGGCAGAAAAAAAACAAGTATTCTACATCCCATTTTGATGAATGAAAACCACCAGTTTGGTATTTCCCTGAGATTTTGGGCTAGTTAATGAAGTCTTCTTTGTGTCAGAAAGGTAAATTCTCAGCTTGCTCATTTCCTCAGTTATCATTAATTAGCTAACATTTTTCATCTAAGAACTGGAAAAATTTGAAGGAATAGAGGTTCTTTTCTATCCAAAATGTTTCTAATTATAACCCTGAATCTTTCCTCCTTCCATTTTAAAAAGGAACTGCTGACAAAAATGTCAAATCTATTCTGCAAAAAGAAAATCTCTGATGTTGGATTCATTAAATTGAATGAAAAGGAACAAGATTAAGCTCTTGTTGTTTCTCTAGATATAGAGAACTTTGACACACATGCCCTCCTTAGAAGAAACCTAAAACATTCCTGATATTTAAGACCAGCCACATTTGTTTGACAATAAGGATACTCAGGCCATTTTGAGTACCCAAGAGTTTCCTGAGAAATATTAGTATTAACTAAGTATCTTGTTCTGAAATATCAGTATTTCAAGACTGTATTTCAAGTATTTTAAATGCTTATATGATTGTTTCAAATCCATATTCTTGTGAAATGGCTGCAAAATTCACTAAATAATTGGTAAATTTGAACTGACAATCTTTTTGTCATTGGTGCTATGATAACTCAAATAACACTTAGGATGAAAGACTTCCTTCAAAAACAATGGAAAATTCTTACTAGAGAAAGTGATCTCTATGCAGAGAATTTGAACTGTGTTGGTGTTCCCCCAACCCAGGGTAAGATCTGTCAAGGTTGGAGTCCTCTTCAGTTTCCATTATGTATATAGGTCAACATCTGTCAATAATGTAATGTAATTTGATAAACTTTGTCATCATCTTCACTTTTAGCCACTGGACTATGAGATGAGACGACTTTATACCTTGAAAGTAGAAGCTGAGAATACCCATGTGGATCCACGCTTCTACTACCTTGGGCCTTTCAAAGACACAACTATTGTGAAAATCTCTGTAGAAGATGTAGATGAACCTCCCATCTTCAGCAGATCTTCTTACCTTTTTGAGGTGCATGAAGATATTGAGTTGGGGACAATAATAGGAACTGTAATGGCACGGGATCCTGATTCAGCCTCAAGTCCAATAAGGTAATACTCCAGTCTGTAAACACATAATTTGCTAAAGGAATTAAAAAAAAATAGTAATACAACATGAATTTTCATATAAACATTGTGCACAGGAAGAAAATGGTAATCTTTTTTCTGTTCTTTATTTATGTCCCAGAGATATAATTGAGAATGGTGTTATCTGTAAGCCTCCAAACTCTTCAGGGAACAGCCATTCCCCTGCACACAAGAGACACAGGAAATATTTTCTAGAACTTCAAATCCAAGAAATCTTACAAAATTACACACTGATTTCAAGTAGGCCCTTCAGGACTACTTCTTCCTTCACACTGTGAAAAAGTGTCAAACCGGTCTATGGCCCAGGAAGAGGACAGAGCTTTCCAATGCTTCCTCTGGTCAGTCCTGGAAAGTATGCAGGGATGATCTCACCTGCTCTGGTTGGTGCCTCCTGTTTTGCAGGCTTGCCAGAGTGATGGCTATACAGGATAAAACTTTTTTGTGCTTGAATACTCCAAGAAATTAGACATTGAAAGATTAATATCTTTAAAAATCTCTTCTATGTATGCTAATTGATGCTACATGCTACATTGCATCTAGCTGAATGTAGTAAACTATATTTTGGTGCGGGGTGTTTTGTTTGTTTTTCTATAATGCATAAGCTTTACGAAACAGGTAAGACAACACTGTCCAAGTTGGATGTGTGCTGTCTGAAATACCGAAGACAGCACGAAAATCACATTCTGGCCAAAGAACTTTATTTAGTGACTTTGAAGTCAATTGCCACATTCTTCTTAATGAGGCCCAGGTGGTAAAACTGGGTTAGGAAATGAAAGTGAATCTAATTTTTGCCTATGATAATTTGTGTGTATGGAAAAAATAGGAGATAACACCAAGCCTCCAAAATTTAAGAATATATAAATAACTTAGCATTTCATCTTTATCCACTCTAATTGCATGAGACAACTGACAATTTCAGTAGTTGTATTTTCTGAATCGTGCTTGAAAAGGAACAAACTTCGCTCATTTTGTTTCCATCACAACTTGATGAACTGAAGAACTGTGGCGGGTATTTCCTTCATCACTATTATTTACACAGAGTAGCAACCTAAAGATTGTTTTATATAATTCTTCTATGTCCTGTTGATGGTTTTTTCATTTTCTCATAGAAAATAATTTATAAGAGGCAGGTGGAGCAAATCAATAGTAATAAAGGCAAAGAAATATCTAAAGAATTGAAAGGGACCATTGAACCTAGATTTAGTTCCCTTGAAGAAAAAAATAGAAGATATTTGTGATAATGCTCCTCATAGTACTGTCATTTCTTTTAGCTTTCATTTAATGTTATTTAGTTGAAGACAAGAACTTTAAAACAATTTGCATAGTGTAGATTGAATTCTTTTTAGTATTCGCTCTACTCCACAACTTCCAAAGCAACTTTGCGTATTCATTCAAACAATTACTTAGGATTTTTACTTCTTATGACAGCAATACTAAATACAAAGTGCTATGTGTTTACCACAGAAATGAACAGCTAACATTTAGGCTTAAATATTTTGAAAGCTGTCATATTTTGAAATTAGGGCAGTTTGTATAACACTTTAATACTGCTATCAAAAAAATATTACAGCTTCAGGTTGTAGAATTGAATACAGTTTTAATTTTTCTTCTGTTTATCTGTTTATTTTAAAATATTAGTTTCTGTTTATTAAAATTCTATATAAGCTAGGCTTACTATAAATTGAATGCAAATAGGTTCCTGTTGTACTAATTTCTAGTTCTGTTCAATGAATATGGAGGTATTTTCTGAAAATAATAATTTTGGTAGCATTTGCAGGCCATTAGAAGTAACATGATGTGGTAAAAATATGTGCTTATTTCATGGCGGTTATCAAATGCTATCGAGTTTCTAATGAAACAATGTGGAACAGATTTCGTTAGCTACAGAAGTGATTATTGCCTATTGAAAAACTGTTAGCTAAAGTGATGTCAAAGTAAGTTTTTTTCCTCATTAAAACTACTTCCATGGATGAAGTAAAATCAAATGCTTATCATATAAGCCAAATAATTTCTCTGAAAAATAGCAGATTTTTGTTTAATTTTAACTAACCATTCTTATAGTCAGCTAGTACTAAAAATAAAAAAAAAAATTAAGCAAGTCTTTCCTGCATGTTCAGAACTTATTTTGGCTGTTCTAATTTCGTTTTGTTTTGGTTTTGTATTCATTTTGGTATTGGCTTGTTTGTTGGGGTTTTGTTTGTTTGTTTTATACTTTTATGTTACTGTGTGTGGTGGAGTGAGCAAACAAAATTCACCAAAATGTTATAGACATTATTTTCACATTTTAACATTTTCTCATTTGGCTTAATTTAGTTAAATACTGTAAGCAAATGCAGATACACTTGATGAACTGTTTAGATCACTCATAAAAGTTCATGGAAACATGAACATTTGTTTCTATCGCACTGTACAAGTATACTACTAAGGTTCAATCCTAACTTTGACAGCAGTGTTAAATATTAGAAAAAATGCAGGAAAGAATAACTTTCTGATTCCAGTTTGACATTTTGCCATATTGTGTTAGCAGAAGTTTTGCCTGCAGGAGTATAACAACTACAGCAACATAGAATGTTCTTTAACATCAGTTTATTCATGGAAGTGAAACTTCTGCACATGAACTTATTTTTATAGAGATTTTTTTTAACTTGATCTCAAGTAAATTAAAATATCCTGAAGTGCAGAAGCTGAGCTTATAACAATACTTTAGAAAAGCTCATAAATTAACTGTCAGTCTCAGTCTGAAGGAACAGTACATCAAAGACCATTTTCCTTTCAGGATTAAAACAATTCTTTAATTATTATATTGAAATTCTGACTTATTTTTTAAGATTCTAATATATGTCTATAAAAGCTCAGATGATCAAATATTACACTATTGTATCATATTCCTGAAATTCTTGCAATTTTTATTCCTCTTTCTATGGAACTAACCTTGAGCATTTTCATAAGTGTTTATAGAAACTAAATATAAGTCTACTCAAAACTAACCTTTGTAATATAACATATAGAACATAAAAGCTATATTTATTTGTTGTGAAACATGTGCTTTCTTCCATTTTCTATCATTTTGACAATACTTTTTCTTTCTTTATCATATTTAGATTTTCTCTGGATCGTCACACTGACCTTGACAGGATATTTAATATTCATTCAGGAAATGGGTCCATCTATACTTCTAAGCCACTTGACCGTGAGATATCACAATGGCACAATCTTAGCGTTATAGCAGCTGAAATCAGTAAGTCAATTTGGTCTCTTTTTCCTTTCAGTTTTCCTTAGCCTGCAAAGTTTCAACTGTGACTTCATGAGAAAAAACTCCCTTCCTTCTCCCCATCCCTTTCTATTGGATATTGTGGGAAAGAAAATTGGGGGTAGCTAACAACAGCTGTCTCCTCATTGCTTTTTTCCTCACCTACTTCCGCCACTGACCTTTAATGTCCAAGTTACTTCTGAAATGTCAATTAAATAATAACACTGAAGTAATTCTGTTTTCTTCCTTTTCTTTGAGGACAATGACATGATTTTGCTGTTAAAATAGCAGAGTTCAGGATAGTAATCTATGGTTTTGTCTCTATTTTTCTTCAATTCCTTAGAAATAATTTCATTATCTCTTCCTATGGTATCTACACCTACAGCTCTTGGAATCAATACATCTTAAAGTTAGGTTCAATTTGATCCCTAAGGTGTAGCATTTCTTGGACTATTTAAATCAGCTCTCTGTAGATATTTTCATGTTAAAAGTAAAAAGATCAAAGAAGAGATGCTCCTAAACCTGCTATATTATTGAGATTAACTCTAATCGCCTGACAGAAAGTTTTCTAAGGGACAAAGGTCTGATCTTTGAAATCAGCTAGTGATGATCAGTTGCTTTCAAAGACACTGGGTTTTTAGGGTTAATTCTCTATCAGTCAAAAAAAAAAAGAAAAAAGTGCTGATCAGCAGTGAAACATGGCTGGCAAGAACTGCACTGCAGAGAACTAAATGGAACATCGTGTCCAGCCAATTAACCACTCTCAGCTTGCCAGTCCCCATTTTTGTAGTCCAGACTAATAGGCTGGTTGTATTGAGCACACCTTGTACCTGTATTTTTTTTTTTAAGACTTTTTTTTTTTTTCTCTTGCAATGCATTGTCCTGAGCTTACAGTCCTTCACAGTGTTGTACAATGTTGTAAGAATACTTTTCAGAAGCATTTATATAATGAAAAAACTTAGCATCTTTGTATGATTTTATCATAGTTCTAAACTTATTTCTTTGTCAGGATACTTTGAGCAAATTTACATTCTGGACCTAGTTGAAGCAGCTAACATTCCCCAAAGAGGTATGTTAGTTTTGGAGAAAGAAGTGAAGGGGGAGATTTAGGCCTTTAAATCTTAAAAAATATTACCTGTAAAGCATGACATAGTAGGAAAGCAGTGTTAAGAACAGAACTTACTTGGAAAGTTAGTACAAAAATGTAAAAAGTTATGAAAAACGGTGCCATAAACCTGCCATTTTAAATAATTCAAGATGTCAGAAAGATTCACATCACACTCTTCAGCAAAGGCATTATTAATAAGAAGTGAACTTAACGTCAGCCACTTCTAAATGTTTACTGTTTTATTTGAAGCAGCTTAAAAGGAAAAAAAAAATGAGTAATTTTGAATCATCTCTATTGTTACTTCTCCCATTCCATTAAAGTTGCAAAATCATATATCATTTAGCTACCATCCAACAGAATTTCAAGAAATGGTTGCATTTTTTTACTCCCAGGTATTATTTTAGGTTCTTGGTATGGCAGCTAGATCAGCAAGTGAGAACAGGGACACTTGTATTCCTGAATTAACCTATACTAATGAAAGGGTACTCTAAATAATACTAGGGTTTTTTTAACTGGGGAGCGGAAGGTTAATATTCTTGTTCTTAACCTAGGGTCTAAAAATCTATTTTCATATTTTTTAGGGCAATTTAAACATAAAAACTCTGATGCTAATCAATTATTTACCAACTTTTTTGGAGGATACTTTCATTGGCTTTGTTGGAATTTCTCCCTACTTATCAGGACACAACACAGGAAAGTCAGGCTTCAAAAATTTTCAAAATATGTATGCGTGTTGTGGTTTAAAGTAACTCTATCCCAGCCGATGCCAGTACAATGAACAAAGTCTTTTCTGTATAAAACAAAAAAGATCACAAATATTAAAATTAAAAATCAAAACCTTACAGCACAATAACACTCTCAAGCCCACCAAATAAACAAATTTGCCATTATAGTAGCGGGCATACTTTTCATATACTATATTTGCATAAATTATTAACAGTTGCAGACCCTATTTGAATGTAAAATCTTAATTGCTTACTAGATTCCAATGCTTTAATTTATTTTTTACTCTAAGCAAAACATCTTTTATTTTCCAGGAGGCCTGATTCTTACCTGGTACCAGTTTATACACTACATTTTGACCAGTTTCATACCTAATCTTGCATTTCTATTGCTCATGAAATTTGAAAGAAAACAGAAAAATTTTAATAGGAAAATAAAAGTATTATTCTCTCTTCTCCTGTCAGATAACCCCAAAGATACAACTCGTGTTCCTGTCTACGTAAGAATTTTGGATGTTAATGACAATGCCCCGCAGTTTGCTGTATTCTATGATACTTTTGTCTGTGAAAATGCAAGAGCTGGACAGGTATGCCTCTGACAAACACTTCCCATTATCCAGTTTTGCTATGGCACTCAACTGTAGATCACTCTTGCCTGTTACTTGGGAGAAATCATGTCTAAAATAGCTTTTGAAATGCTAAAAATGAAAGCAAAGTGGCTCTGTAGGTGAGGCTTAGAATGAAGTATCAACATATTACAACAGCACCAGTGTGTGAATCACCACTTTTCTTTACCTAACCCTGTGCTACTGTTAAATCCTGACTAGATATGTCCAAGAGACATGGTCATAATTAGTTTTGTCATTATCTTCACAAAGTAAAATGTTATATGTAACTACTGAATAGTTTGATCTATATTTTCAATAACTCTCAAATAGCAAAATTCAGATATATTTCAATCCATGTTGAAGGTATTACAGACATTTACATCGGTCACATCTTTTTTTTCTTTTTTTTTTCCAATTGTTAGACTTATCTTTTATTATTTCACCAAAATCTTTTGAAAAGAAAATATAAAACATACTTTTTTTAACTGGTAACATAATATTTTGTTTTACCTCTTAGAGGCTACAGATCGTGTACTTCAATTTAAGTGAAATGACTGCACTGCTTAATATCTAGTTCCTAATAAGCAGCTGCTTATTAGAACTGTTAAAAAACTGGTTTCCTATTACAGCACAGCATGTCCCAGAGCACAGTCAGCCAATAATAAATCCTTTGAAATGGTAGCAGTAGTACTCAGTGCAATGATTTTAGCACCTTTGAATAGAACATGGGAGAAGTGCCAGTTTGTCTTAACTGTTTGAGTCCTACAGGTATGGCATTCAGGTTGTATTACAAATTTCACATTCATGTTGCCATTCTTCTTTCTAAAGTAACATCAGTTGGAAATTAGAGCAGAAGATTTAAGGCTCAAATTTATAATACATAAAATATCTAAAGGTACTGAGCAAGGACATTTGTCTTCTACGAGAGTTGTAAGAGAATTCAAGCTGTTAGATAAATAGAACTCACTGGCTAAACATCTAGAATTTTTGACAGTTGCAGTGTCTTCTATATATGCTAAAATAATACTTTAATCATTTTCCATATGAGAGATGGATCAAGAATTGGAAAAGCAGAACATTGAATTTTCCTCTTCCAGTTTCACAAAAAAAGATCCTGGGTTAAAAAAAAAAAAACACAAAACTAAATGCATTAATCCACAAATCTTACTCATTTGAGGTTTTAGAATCTGTTCTGTGCAGGTTACTAACTACAGAGGGTACAGGAAATGCTTAATAGAACAGTTACATTTTCATTAAACAGAGTTTGAGGTACTCCTGAGCTATCTAGAATATTGAAGTCAGTATAATTTAAAGGCAAAGATAAAAGTTATTTCTATATTACACTAGTTTTCTGCTTACATTCAGAAAAGGTTATCAGTTAAAAAGTTGAAAAAACGCACACTAATAATTTATGACTAAAAAATGAGAAGCTAATTAAGTGTACATATCCATGAATGTTTATTTAAACTGTTACAGAGCTCATTAGTGTCTCCTTTACCAGAAAAAAAGTGTCAAGTTTATTAAAGGAGCTATAAACATATTTTTTTAAAAATCTGAGTTACAAATGATTGTTTAAAGAAAACAATTCACAGAAAGAGAAAAAAATGCAATGCAGGATAATATGAATAATCTATTTGAATGTAATTAGATTCTTCTTGCTTACTGGTAGATCATAAATAAGACTTACTACTTTGGAATTCAGTCTGTCCTGAGAGATTGACTATAATCAGTCCATACTGAACATGGTTCTCTTAGTTTGATTCCTCCCACATTTATGCTATTTTTCTTTCCTTCCAGGTTTTCATAATTACATTTGACCCATGATTAAATCTTCCATTAGATCACTGAAACTATTATGATGCTTCTTCAGTTACAAATTCTGTGGTATTCATCTAAATATTTCCTATCTCCTATTGAAAAACATTTTAATGAACTATAGTTTTCCGATTTCTTTATTTTCCCGTAAAATTTCCATTTACTCAATTTATGTAGAAGTATATATAAAATATATATACACATATATATACACTTACATATATAGACACACACACTATCGATAATATATATGGATGTGTGTGTCTACATGTATACACACACACACACACACTTATATGCATATATATAGCAAGAGACAGAGGGAGAGTACTTTTCATGAAATGTGATTTTTGGAATCTGAGTGACTCAAAGGGCCTGTGATTGTTTTCCTGCTTGCTATTACTGCTGATGTGAGATTGTATGATGACCTTCCAAACAATGAGAATACCCTGTTCCAAAAAGCTCAAGCTATAAACAAGTGGCACCTGTGGCAGAATGCCATTTTGTTGGTGGTTGTTCTTTTGACTCTCCCAAAAACGAGGACAACCTTGATGTGATGGCATAAAGGGGACACAGGCATTCATGTGAGCTATACAAGACTGACTCAGTAGGAGCTGAGGGGAAAAAAGGAGTGAAACGCTCGGACTGCTGCAAACCTGTATATAAAGACATTCAGCTGTCCTCTGCGCCCAGGTGAGAAGAGCCAGGAGCTGGGCATCTGGGCAAACAGATTCCCACTGGTTTTGTCAGCTGTCAGCTGCCACACGTCTGGCAGCTCAGCAGCCAGCCTCCAAAGATCTTCTAATGTAAAAGACAGTTATTGTATAGAAAGCAGAAGCACAGAAAGTACAGAAAGCAGAAGTCAGTCCTACTTTAGAGAGACTGTACATGGAAGCTGAGTGTATTTTTTCTACATAGTCATTTTCCCTATAGTAATGGTCAGAAGAAGGGCCCTTCTCCTCCCTTTTAAGTGAGCTGTGAAGAGGGAAGGCGGCATGAGTTGACCTTGGACAACGGCCAAGTGCCCACCCCTCCCTCCTCAACAGGACAGGGGGACAAAATAAGATGAAAAAGAAAATGGGTTGAGATAAGGACAGGGAGATCCCTTACCAACTACCATCACTGGCAAAACAGACTCAATTTGGGGAAAATTAATTTAGTTTACTGCCAGTTAAAAATAGGATAAGATGGTGTGAAACAAAGACAAAAGAACTAAAACACCTTTCCCGCATCCCTCCTTCTTCCTAGGTTCACCTTCATCCCTTCATTCCTGATTCCTCTACCTCCTCCTCTCTGCCTCTCCTTCCTCCTCACA